ATCAAACGGTTATCTTACCAGTCTGCGTGACACAAAATCATCCAGCACGTGTATCCAACAGCAATGTTCGCAGACTCACGAACATCTCTGGGCAGTTCTTCCCTAGCCCTACGTTCCTTGTTGTGGGTAAGGTCATCTGGCTCAAACCCTTTGCTCTCTTCCACTCCTCCATGTTTTTCTGCTCCATCGTCGTCTTCGTCCTCCTTTCTTCCCTTTCACTTTCCTTCGTCTTCGTCACTCCCAAAAGAATTACCCTCACTACTATCGTTGTCGCAGAGATCCCAACCGATTGGCCCTGGTGGAAGTTGGTCNNNGCGAGTTCGCATCGACAGAAAACGAGCTAGCTCGAAGGTAAACCGTCTCCGAATCCTGTTAGTATGAAAAGCTTTCAGGCGAACTAAGGCCCTCTCGTCGTCAATTCCCCCGGCAAAAAAAGCTTCGTGCGCCAAGTGGTTGGCGATAGCAACGATGAGTCGATTGGTGCCTTTGCCAAGACCACCATTCGTTGAAAAGCAGCAGCAGGGAGGGTGGATCTAGACGGGTTGAAAGTTCCCGCATAGTGATTTGCCTTACTTGCAGCTCGATCTTCGAGGGCTGATCCTGGCTTAAGGATCGACTTGTCGATGCTTCGACCTGCTGATGGGTTGACGATTGAAATGTCTATGAGAATGGACTTGGTGCAGAGTTCCTCTTCCTTCTCTCCTGCGTGTAATCCTGGGGGGATTACCAAATCCATCTTGTATAGCCCCTTTCCCCTACCAGTGCCTGTGGTAAAAGGGGAAGAATCCTCAACGGCGATGGGCATATGGCACTCGCGCAGTGTCTTGAGGACCACTCGAACCATCCTGTTATGGAGGAAGGTTGAGGCGCCGGTCTTGGTGCAAACGAGGGAGTGGGCTCGGCTCAAGCGGTCCTTGCATGGTAACAATGCACCTGCACCACAAAGTTTGCCTGTGTTGCAGTCTGCTCGATCGTGACTCCCCAGTACACGACCGATTGACTCTCGATATAGATCAGGCAGCATTCTTTCATCTGCTGACAACCCTTGCGTTGTCAACCACGACAAAACTCCCTTNTGGTTGGCTGACGTGCGCGCGTGTGTGTACGTTGCGTGTGGAGCCTGCAACCGCAGCACAGCTGAGGTGTCCGTGTGTCTGCTTTCGTTCAAGCACTGCACATACTGGAGTTGTCGCACAGGGGTGTGCGTTGAAATTCTTGATAATATCGCCCCCAGGGTTTACTCAGGACCGCACATACCGGAGTTATCGCACAGGGGTGTGCGTTATGTATCAAACCCAATGATTTAATTCAATTTCCGCACAGGGTGTGGNCCCAGGGTTTACTCAGGACCGCACATACCGGAGTTATCGCACAGGGGTGTGCGTTATGTATCAAACCCAATGATTTAATTCAATTTCCGCACAGGGTGTGGAGTCATCGCACGGTCCGGAGTTGTCGCACCCCTGTGCGATGAAAATTTAATAGCGAAAATGTTAAAAAAAAACGATCGCAAGGGGGTGCGCCAACCCGCGCACCGTACGGTAGGTTGCCCAAGGACGAACCGATCTTCCGTGGGGGCCACGCCGGGGGCACTATCATGCGACAGTAGGTGGTGGTGTAACTTGGTTCAGAAGCGAGCTCCAATTGACCAATAACCAGAAACGGGTACACCCGGGTTCTTTATCACGACTTTAGGATACACTTAGAAATCAACACGCTTGCACCCCCAGGCCGCCAACCGATTGGCCGAAAAACCATCGGACCCATTTTCGAAGAAACCTCCATCTACAACTACCGCTGGCATTAGGACCCTCTGGTGTGACCGATACTGGTGGCTGGTGTAGTACCCGGAAGAGGGTCGATTTTGTACCCAGAAATTACCATGTAAACCCTGCGCCCGACGCTCAAGCGTAAAACCCGCAGCAGCAGCTGGCAGTTCCTCCCTCTGCTAAGCTGCTGACATACATACGTACACACAGGCAGGATCCTCCTTCCTCCTCCTCATGACCAACTGACACCATGACTACCAGCGCATTGGGTATGTTGGTAGGGCACGGTCGCCATCATCAGTGTGTGTGTAGATTTCGTCTGCTGCTGCTGTCTCGGCGGTCGCCGAAGTGACCAGAGGAAAAATGACGAAGTTCTTTTTTTCGCATGACTGCCTTAGGAGGATTCTCAACGATTTTTCGGTTTGTTGGAATATGCCGACTGGCTTTCGGAGAAATCCGAACGGACCGCCTGACGTTTCTTAA